ATTAAATTGCTTGAACTCATAAGGACCGATTAAGACCTTCAAAGTACTATCTTCCGAACTAATATTAGAATCACTCTTCTAGAGGATAAGAGTCTTCTGAATGTTATGTATCTTTCTCACTCTTTAAAAACCACAAAATAACTGAAAACTTTTGGCCAAGAAAAACCCTTCGGGACAAAAACTTGGCGAAGGAAAAAGAATAGCACATGGTCTTCCGGACCAATTAATTGTTCCACTTCAACAACAACAAGTCAATATGTTTAGGTGAAAATATACGATAAGCGGAAGCAATTGTCTAAATTCATGATTCTGCAATGTGTATTTCAAGACCATCAAGTTTATTGTTATTATGCACGTCAAATATTCAATAATTGAGTATTCTCAAATATTGGTCCATAAAACTTAAATGTGACATGTTTTGATCTTCCTAGGATCTCAAATTAGTATACAAACACTTAGGTGTTCACAATATAATGACTAAATATTTTATTTATTATATAATCAAACACCGTTCAAATCAAAAGATTTTCACGTGTTGTTTCTAGGTTTGGCTAGATGCTTAAAAGCATCCAACACCTTTATTTATTCAATTTGGTTCATAGAATAATATATGTTTACTTCCGGTAAACAAATAGATGGTTTAAGATTAATTGCAAATTCATTGCATAATGATTTCCTCATTCAGCTCTTTCTGCAGGAAAGGTTGAGAAGTAGTACAAATATAGCTCACTTTAAATTAGTTTAAATTCTAGTCATGAAATCATGTGAAAACAAATAAGAAATCGTTCACATTAGATCCTCTATAGGAGGCACTCAGTACAATCGATATTTTGACATAATCAAAGACCTTGTTCAACCATAATATTAAATAACATAATTTGCACCATGATAATCAAGCATAGTTCTTCTACAAAATAAATCATGTCATCAAGACTTATTGTAGTCACCCAGGTTGTAGTTAGGCACAAGCATCCATTTTATATATTTCCAACTATGCATAATATTTAGTACATTATTTATTGTTGCAGTTATTCAATCAAATTCAAATTCCTTTTCAAGAATATTTCCAAATATAATTACTTTAACTTAACACATAATGTCCTTATCTAATTATTATAGACATAAAAGAATTCATATTCATGTTGCATGTTGTGTGCACATATTTCTTTTCACCGTTGTCCTTTAGGGACACACAATCTAATTGATATTATAACAATGACATCCAATTTTCTCATCAACTGCCACATTTACAGAACTTTAAACTATAAAAGGAATGTAGTCTCAAAATCATTCAATCTCAAGTATTGTCACCCCACGTACACAATATCTTGATTTATGGGACTTCAGGCCCAATATAAAATATTTTCTCATCCATAAACATCGATCATAATTCACAAAATTTTAGGACTACAGGTCCATCGTATTTTGTCTGACCAGACTTTATTATTATGGATTATGAGTCGATAGTTATGGGAAAATAAATCATTGACGTCAATCTAATCAATATCATTCATATTTTATCAAAAGTCCTCTATATGAGTTATAAAAGAGGAACTCATGTTCTGTATCATAAAGTTTCTATAACTTATCAGCTGCAGCATTTAACTTATATCATCCTCCTATAGAGGCATAAGTGACTTCCTAAAATAAAAAGCAATTTTATTTGCATACACGTAATGACCGTCTAACCATGCTTCATTCATTGATTGAGCTCAATCTTTATAATCATTTCTTTCAGTCACTTTGGCAGTTTACCTATCATATTTTACACGTTTCTCTTTTAATATCAATCGATCCTTCTAGGATATTTTCCCGACATTCCAAAATATAATTATGCCTATGCCTTTATATCCCCCCTAATGTCGGGAAATGTACCATAATATTTTTGACAAGGATTTACGCACTTATGGAGCCACTTCTGAGGGCCCAAGTACATCATTTCTGTAATGGGGTTTCAATGTTCGCACACTTTGACTCATTTTAACGTGTAAACTTTGGGGGTTAGTTGTTAACAAATGCCGAATTAATATAAACTAGTTTTTCTTCATATATTCAAGCAACTTTCTAGCAGTTTATCTCAGGCGCAACATTCATCTTATAATGCTAGATATATTTTGTGGGTTACCTTATGCTCTTCACTATATTTCATAGAAGCCGGCAAAATGGTCTTTTACCATTCCTTATATGTAGACATTTCAGGAGAACATATTTTGAGACCAAACTTGATATTAACCCACATTGTGAAACTTCAAGTTCACTCAACTCCCATGGATCCACTTATAAAAAGTTTGGGAGAATAGACGGTCTTGTCATTTTCTTATCTAAGAAGTGTTTATATACTGGATGTTTTATACGGCATTTGGTTTAAACTTGGGTTGACCTTAATTTGGTCATTTATTTAAAAATCATAAACTTCATGCAACACGTGTTCAAATATTAAGGTATATACAAGATAGTATGAAGAGAATTCTGCTACAGTCAGATGTTATGGAAGCACAATTTACACTACCCTCATACGGTCTCAAATTATCTATTAGTAAGTATGATATAACTTTCAAATTATTACTTCGCAGTGTTTGAGTAGCTTCTTATACTCAATGCCTGAGATTTTTATGTGCACAACTTGTTTATAAATATAATATGTGCTTCCAATACTTATTACTCTTAAAATAGAATTAAATTTCTAATATGTATGATCTTCTCAATTATATACATGCTCCAAGCATTATATATTCTTGAAATAGGATTAATATATATCGAGCAATTCCACAAGTAAATTCATGTTTTAGGCATTATATTATCCTTTCTTAAGACAAAGGCATTCAATCTCTAAAAGACTAAAGCGATCACCAATCTAGCAATCTCTTACTTTCATTGAAATAATACAAACACACATCTAGAGATGCATATAGAGAGTCTAACAATTAGTTAATACTACTCTTGAAGTAACATAAAAGTTTTCAAATAATCATATTTGTGTTAGAGTATTTTAAAGGGTTGTCACGAACCATTCATTTGAGTGAATTTCGAAAATGCGTGCACATGAAGGGCTTCAGACTTTGCTTAGAAATATGTACACTATCTCATGTGTGAGCGATGTGTGAACTTCAGGTTCAAAATAAACTCACTTGTACGTCAAATATATGCTCTTATAGAGACTTCTGGCACTTTGTTATAATTTCATTATCTATTTATGAAATTTTGTTTGCTTTCTCCCCCTCTCAACTAGATTAATTTGAGAAAATCATTCTACATAATTACAATAACTTGTGATTTACTAGGCATTATTTGCGTATCCATAGCAATATCTATGATTCAAATAGTTAAAATCTATATCATGTTTACTAATCATGCATTTTCTTAAAGTATATCACTTCCTTGAATGTTTTATACAACATTGAAGTTATATGAGTCATATTAAGTTATTAACTTATCGATTAATATTCAAACAATCAAGTTTCTCATATAAATATATATGTAATCATATTATGTTCCAAAACGACCAGATTATAAATACGGATATGTGGAACGTACCTGTAATCTCCAATGCACTTTTCTTAATGCTTTCATGAACTCAAAGTAGATGAAGTAATTTTCATAAAGATTAAAAGAAAATGAAATGTTTACGAACGAATAAAGATTTCCATCGTACATAATCAAGGCAATGAAAGGTTATTAAGAGCAAAACTAATTTCTATCTCAGATAAGATTAATGACATTATTATATGAAATATAGTAATCTTTAAGCATCAATATTTGTGCATCTTTAGAGACAATGGTTTTTAAAGTAGTTCGTTAACTTCTGACAAAACGGAAATAACACAAATGTAAGATATTCATATAAACTTCATTTGGGTGCTTATGAAAGAAAATTGAGTGATATATTCTTGTAGAAGTCGTTTTCTATACCACATATACACGATATTATCTCTCAATACATACCTACAAAATATGCAATTTTCACACTTACCCCCTAGATCTCATTATCCATTACCAAAGTGGATAATATGTCATAAATCAGAATGTCTAGCAGGTATGGGGAGTCGATCGAATCGGATTATTGATTCTGCAGAATTATACAAAACTACCTCCTTTTGTTTTGGTAAAATTTCTGAAGTTAGTCCAAATAGCATATTCCTTTGTCCATACAAAACTACCACTCAAACAGCATGACAAAATGTATCATTCACTACGAACATACTTATAAAAAATGATAAGTGGAGATTGAATTTGTGATTATTATGGAAGAGTTCAAAAATTGTCCAGTGGTGGCAGATTGTTTGAGAACCATGTGTGATACTCTTGTATCATTACTTCAGAATAATTATGTTGAGACTCTCATATGGACTCTCCAATACCGACCATATGTATTTTAACCAATTGGTAATTTGACCGCTTCAAAATGATGGTAAAAACTTTTCTCCTTCAAAGCCAATGTTTGGTTTGTTGGAGAATCTATCACGTATATTCTTGGAAAGATAAATACGAGTAGATTCTAATATATTCTATTTTATATTTTTGTAAATATAGCACTTTAAAAATTTGAGTAAAAATTAAGCTATTATAGCACTATAAAAACGCAAGTTTTTTTATATTCAATGTTGGTCTCATATTAAAGATAATAAAAAAGTTATAAATTTTGATATATTTTTTGTAACAATCGAAGCAAAAATATAAAAATTATAACACTTTAAAAAACAAGATTTTTTTATTTGTGGGACCCAAGCTATTTTCTCTCTCTTGTGCGCTGCTTTGCTATATACGGAAGTTTTTTTATTTTGCTTAAGCTGCCTATGGAGTTGCGGTTCTACAAATCAAACTAGAGTTAATTGTGACACTAGATCGGGAAACATTTTTAACCTTACATCAATTTGATAAATACTTTTTTATTTAGCATTATTCTTGAAAAAAACTCGAATATTCCTTAGTAATTATGATTTATATTTGCTTTCGTTTGTATTAAATGTGGTTTGGTTTGATCAAACTTTGATAGTTTGATAGTTTGATCAAACTACCTCTTTGTAAGTTTGAATTTTTTAATCTTTTCATCTCTCCCAACTCTGAGCCACTCACCATTTAATGGCGAGCGCTTCTCTGCATGAAAAATCCCGGAAATGAAAACGCTTACCGTTAAAACCCTCCAACGAAAGGAAGATTAACGAATCAAACCCCAAATATATTTACACTGCCTCAGCCTCACAGATTGTCGCGGTTTACTCTACCGAGAACAATTTCTTGGATTAGATTTCAATAACATGAGGTGGGAGAAGGTGAGTGCACAAGGAAATAACTCGGGGCCTGGTAAGAGGTGGGGTCACACTTGCAATGCCATCGCAGGAGGCAAACTTCTTTATGTGTTTGGTGGCTATGGAAGTTATGACTGCCAGACCAACCGAGTTCACGTCTTCGATACTGGTATGCGTTTCACTAACTCTCGCATTTTCTCATCGCCTTAATCGTCCTCTTCAGGCCTAAGGGTATTTCGTTTTGAGTGTTTTTTGCCACTGCTAAATTTGTTTTTTGGGGTTTCTGATTTTTTATTATGTCCGTTGGTTTTCAGGATTTTCTTGATTTCATTCTAAGAAATTGTCCTCGACTAAAAACATAACCAAAATTGGAGTTAACTCCTAATCTTCCCCAAATAGGAGTGAGCACTAACTTTTTACCCCAAATACCCATGTTCCAATTAATTAAGTGCCCCCTAGTTCCCGTGTGCAACCGAGGCAGGGCGTTGGTGGCGGGGCAGTCCGGTGGTGGCGGTGGCAGATGGCGGCTGGCATCCTCCGCCGCCGGCGGCAGTCCTGTGAACTCCGGCAGCCGGCGGTACTGTTGCAGCAGGCAGCAGCAATGGCAGGGGCATCCTTGTCCATTTAGAAGAAAATACTCCTGTTTGTGGAATTTTCTCTTTCATTCTTTATGGGCTCTTGATAGTGGAGTTATGCTATTGCATACTATTCTTTATGAGTTAAGCTATTAGCTATGGTCTTAAGGATTATTATGTGGTTCTATGGTGGGCATCGTGCCTTCGTCCACATGTAGTTCTTCTCTAATGTGATCCATAATTTAAACTTCTTCTTTTTGTGTTGGTCGTTTATCATTTATCTTTTTTATCTTTCTATTTTGTTTAGTTCCGAATCTTCCGATTCCATATGTCAATTTATGTTAGACCTCAAACTCTTTTGGGATAGGCTTGGTTGTTGTTATTGTTGTATTAGATGGTGTTAAAAGTGAGAGGTGGGAAGAGGAGGCAGGGAAGAATACCCAAATAGACATTGACTAGAGGGGTCACCGAAATTAGAAACAAAGGCTCTATTTACTCCAATTATGCTCTATTTATTCAAAAAATTCTCTATTTACTCTAAATGTGCTACTTCGCAAAAAGGCTAAGTTACCCATCACGTATTATTTTGTAAATAAAGTTTGAATACGAGTTTTAGAACTCGATAAGATCTCTCCAACAAGATATAAAACGCTTGAAATGGAACTAAATATTTATCCTTTAATATTTTGTAAATGAAGTGTAAACACGAGTTTTAGAACTTGATAAGATCACTCCAACAAGATTTGAAACAGAACAAAATACTCGAAGATATTTTCGAGTTGACTCTGAATAGGTGTAATATTTGATTTGATCATATCTTACTCTATCCTTTGATTTTTGTAAATGAAGTCTGAGTACGAGTTTTAGAACTCATTAAGATCTTTCTAACGAGATAAAAAAACGCTTGAAACGAGACAAAATACCTAGTTGTATTTGTTCCATTTCAAATGTTTTATATCTCGTTAGAAAGATCTTATCGAGTTCTAAACCTTGTGTAAGGGGCGTCTGAAAATGAGTTTCAGAACTCGTTAAGATCTTTCTAATGAGATGTAAAATGCTTGAAATGGAGTATTTTGTTCCGTTTCAAGCGCTTTATATCTTATAAGTAAAGTCTGAATACGAGTTTTAGAACTCGATAAGATCTGTCCAAGAAGATACAAAACACTTGGAATATTAAAGGATAGATATAAAATGCTTGAAACGGAACAAAATCCCCAAATATGCTCTATTTACTCCAAATATGTTATACTTACACAAAACAAGCTAAGTAATTGATTTGATCACGGTCGTGTTTGGCACTTAGTGATTAGCAGTTAGCGGATAACAGATTATGTTAGCGGGTTGTCAATAGCGGATTCAGTCAACGGGTTTGACTAGCGGAATAAGTTGGCGGGTTGCTAGAATATGTTTGATATTTTAGCTGTTTGGCAACAACATTAGTAGAAAACGCCATATCTCAAAACGCTAACCTAAAACTCTCATATTTGATGTGTTTCCATTTCAGCGTTTCCATCCAAAAAGGATAGGGCCGAACAACTTTTACCAAACTACGTTTTCACTTATTAGAAACGCTAAAAGGGGTCAAACCGCCATTTTTTGCTGAAACGCCATTTTTCAAACCTCCCATATCTTGTTGTCTGTTTTTCCATTTCAAGTGACCTATCCTTTAGTGTTTTGTAAATGAAATTTGAATACGAGTTTTAGAACTCGATTGAATCTTTCCAATGAGATATAAAACACGTGAAACGGAAGAACATACACTTCATATTCTTTAATATTTTGTAAATGAAGTCTGAATATGAGTTTTAGAGCTCGATAAGATCGTTTCAATGAGATATAGGACGCTCGGAACAAAATACAGTATATTAATATGACACACCACAAATACATTTTAAAAATATCAAACTTTCAATACGATACTTTTTGGATTGGATGAGAGTATGACTTCAGAGAGCAAAGTGGAGGGAGAATACACGTGTGGAGGATTGTATCACATTTTATCCTTTTTCTTTGTCTTTTTATCCTTTTATCTTATTTTCATCTTTATCTTATCTATTTTTTTTATCTTTTTATCCTTTCTAGCTCTGATTTCATATGCCCATTCATGTTAGCGGATCCCAAACTCTTTTGGGACTAAGGCTTGGATGTTGTTGTTGTATTAGAAGGTGGTTTAATTATCTGAATGGTCTGCATTTGCCGAAATTGTGTCTGAAATGATTAAACAAACGAGCCGAACTTTTAAAATGTTAATATGAGGGTAAACATTTCATGTCTGTTCCTTTCAGCTAACAAAAACTAATTTTGTGGGTACTATTTTTTTATTGAAGCTACATTTTAAGCCTACATGACATTCAGATATGTAGGTTTAAAATATTTGGTAATAAAGCTGGCGACTCTAGCTCATAAGCTTCTTAAGGAACGAAAAAAGAAAAGGTGTCACCGAGTCACCGACCATGTTCCTAGAAAATTGATAGAGTTGAAGAGAATAGAAGATGGAGGGAGTATAAAAAGGGGAGAAGAAAAGAGTGGCGCAATGCAGGTGTAACTGAAGTAAGATCTTAAGTATTTTGTGAATTCCACTTAGCAACTCATGACAACCTAAATGAAATTTCCAGAAGAGGAGTAATGTGTGAAGAGGGAAATTATGCCTGATCCATAACATGACTCAAGTGGGAAACTCCCATAAGAGTTGATGAAGGTTGTAAAAGATAAAAAATGACAGAAATTATGACCATTGACAAAAATAGTATCCAGTTATCTTTCTACCTCAACAAAACACATTCATTTAGAGAAATCTAGTATTTAAGTGGAAAAGTAATGTAACTTGTCGTAGAAATGGTAGAATTAATAAAATAGATTTGATTTCTTATTCTTGGTTTCTCAATTATTTCATAACACTTTCTCTAAAGATATTTATCAATACTTTTTAAACAAAATGTATATTATAGAATTTCTTATTCCATGTTTTATCTAGCTTTTTGTAAATAACTCATTGCAGGTGAGTTAATTACAAAACATGACTTGTTGGAAGACTAAGTATGGATAGAAGTTGACAAAAGCAGTAAAACACCAACATCTATTCAAAACTGGACATAGGATGTCATTGTTCTAGTGACCTCGCCTTTATTTAAACTAGAATTTATGGCCAATGTCTTTTGTATTGCCCATCCCTTTAGAATTTACAAGAATTCTACTTAAAAATGAAAGTTTACTTCACCAAACTAGTTTTTTGGGACAAAAGGAGTTCTCCATGGATGACTTTTTCTTCTTGTTTGGGACAGATCAAGTACTGTTATATGTCCTTGTTTAATCTTAAAAGTTAAAGTAATAACTACATATTTATGACTAAAATAAAGATTGTTTACAAAAATATGACTCGTGACTAGAGTAGTAATGGAATCATAGTAACTTATATTCAATTTTTAAACTTAACTTACCATGACACTATATTGTAGTAACTATTAGTCATTTTTGTGTAAATAAGTTTTATTTTAGTAATATTTTTGAAAAAAAACCAAAGTTAAAACCATTAATGGGAGATTTCCTCGCACTATTTCTATTGCAGTTAATAGGATATGGAGTGAGCCTGTGATGAAAGGAGCAGTGCCTATGCCAAGAGACAGTCATAGTTGTACCACAGTTGGCGACAATCTATATGTATTTGGCGGTACAGATGGTAGAAAGCCCCTTGGTGATTTGCATATTCTGGACACTGGTCAGTAAATTTAAAAATAAACCATAAGACTATATAGTTTCAGCATTTACTTGCATCGCTTGCATTAATCTGGTTAATTTGCAATTGATATTGTTATATATCCTTGACATGGAAGGTAGAATCTACTAACTATTTAGACAATCTTTCTTTCTGTGTCCAAATGCAAAGCAACTGCATAAATGGCCGAATGGGGGAATGTATTCAGTTTCTGAGGGTTTCTTATGATATATAACAGTGGTACCTATGTCAAGAAATAGTAGAAGATCCCCCATTTTTTGTCTCTCAGTTTCCTGTAAATAAAGTAAGTCAGACAGCCTCGTCATATTAACATATATAATCTAGCTAGTATCTTTCTACATGAAATGCATTTCAACCAAAAGATCCACTTCGTAGTTCTTTTTTGTTATTTCAATTGACTTTTATTGATTAAGTACTTCTAACATGTAAGTATGTGGTAGACCTCATTTTAATAGTGAGGGTAGAGTATATGTAACTATAGTGTTATACCTTCAGCGATAAAAAATAGTGATACTATTAGCACCCGTTTTAAGAGCTGAGACACCAAAATTGGAAAACAAAAAACAGATTTAAAGAGTTCAGACTGGGATATAAAATATATAAAAGTACATACTCTAATTTTGTATTTTTATCCCCATAATTTTTTTTTTAAATTCCCAAAGTTTGAAAAGATTTATTGCTACAAATAGTGGACTTACCCAAGCATACCTTTTCAGCCTCTAACACATGGATCTTGCCAAGTTTAAGAGGTGATGGGCCTGAACCTAGGGAAGGCCATAGTGCAGCCCTTATTGGTAGACGGCTCTTTATCTTTGGTGGATGTGGAAAGTCTGAGAATAGGGAAATATACTACGATGACCTTTACATATTGAATACAGGTTGACGCTCTCCATTTCTATTTTTTTTGCTATAGTGATTGTGTTTGTGGTATTGTTATATTCACTGATCATTAATGAGCAGAAACATTCACGTGGAAACGTATCGTACCATCTGGCACACCACCAACAAAGCGTGAGAGTCATAGCTGCTCTTCTTGGAGGAACAAAATCATTGTCCTCGGTGGGGAGGACACATTCAATTTCTACTTGTCTGATGTACACATTCTTGACACAGGCATGATTTGATCTCTACATCAGTTTCTGAGAAGGCATGAAAATATTTTTAGCACTATTAGTGTATGAGTCATGTACATGGTACACCAACCAATGAGTCACAGCCTGCATCATCATGAAAAATTAAATTGCAATTTTGACCAACTCCTTTTATAAATACAAAAATTCATTAGAATAATGGATACCACCTATTGGCGTTCTTTCCATATTAACTCACATATGCGCAGTTCCAGTATAATCTCAATAATAGTAGGTATCTTCTCAAAGTGAGTCAGTGACCTGCATAAATAAATTCAGCTAGTCATGAGGCCACACGGACCACACGTCACATTGTCATTGACCTCTGTCCTCCTGCTCACCGTTTCTGTAGCAGCACCATGTTCATCTCCATCCGATTCCACCACATGTCACTTTTCACCAGTCCACCATCATCTTGTCTTTTCTTACCATACTACCTACACCTGCCATTGACAGGCTCACATTACCTACACCTACCTAATCCTGAGATTCCAAATTGAAAGCCACTGGACCTTGATTCGGTAGTTTTGGTCGATGGTATTTTAGAGATTGCAGATTTGGCTCTTTAACATCACATTCTCAAAGATGGGCTGGGATTAGTGATTCTGTTGAGTTACCTAAAGTGGACTGATATTTTGACTCCTGGGAAGGAGACACCTTCCTTGTTTTTACTTGTTTACTAAGTTACCGGTCACCTGATATCATTTGCAGAAGATAATCTCTATAGTTCATATGATAGAGAAGTGCACATATGTGAATTATAACAGTGGATGGACGGCAATACATTGAAATTTTCCCATGGATTTTTCCTTATAAGTATTATTAATGTTTAAATTTGTATATTTTATAATTGTTTCTTAGAGTAATTGGTGGAGTGTGATACACCAAGAAGCTTGGGAAATGATTTTGTTCATTTCAATTACTTTTACGTCCTAAAAAAATGTCTTGTTTTTGTAAGGTATAACTTTTTATTATGAGTCAACTCAATCAAGGTACAAGTATTTATGAGTTATGAATAGTGACTTATATCCATAATGTTATAAAACGGCTTGCAGATTGACATACAAAAAATTTACACAACAAAGACATTTGAAACCACGCTTTTTTGAAAATGTTCTTGATACATGAATTTATTTTTCTGACGACAGAGGCAGTAATTAATGAGTGTCACATTTTATTGGAAATCGGTTGAAAACAAAATGGTCGTTAAACGATGAGAATTGGCAAATCAGTAAATTAATAAAATTGACTAAAGTCATTTTTAGAAATTCATGCATAGCAATGATTATAAAAGTAGCCACATTGATGGTTATGTATAATGAATCAACAATTCATTCATTACATGTTTTTATCTAAATTAGACCACATTGGATAACAACTGATGGGTTGTTATCAACATTGTTGTTAAAGTATAAACTAGAATGATATTGAACATGGATAGGAGAAGAATTTTCTATATATTTCATTGAAGGGTAAGGCCCTATAAATATAGATTACAAAGATAGAATATTCCTATAAAAGATGCTATACAATAATACTATATATGGTATATTCCTAATATATTCTAAAGCATATTCTAAAGTATATTCTAATATACTTTCACACACCCCCTCAAGTTAGAGCATAGATATTTATCATGCCCAACTTGTTACATAAATAACCAACTCGAATTCCATTTAGTGCTTTAGTGAACAAATCTCCAAGTTGTTCCCCACTCTTCACATATCCTGTAGAGATCAATCCTTTTTGTATCTTCTCTCGAATAAAATGACAATCGATCTCAATATGCTTTGTTCTCTCATGAAATACAGGATTGTTTGCTATGTGTATAGCAGCTTGGTTATCACACCACAATTTAGCAGGCATTGATGGCTTCAGTCCGAGCTCGGTCAATAAATGGCTTATCCATATGATCTCACATGCAGATTGTGCCATAGCTCGATATTCTGATTCGGCACTCGAACGAGAAACCACATTCTGCTTCTTACTCTTCCAATATACAAGATTACCACCAACAAAGACACAATAACCAGATGTAGATCTTCGATCATCTTTAGAACCGGCCCAATCAGCATCTGCAAAACATTCTATTCTCATGTGATCATGGTTTTGATAAACAATACCTCATCCTGGTGCACCCTTTAAGTAACATAATATGTGTTCTACTGCAACCCAATGATCAATGGTTGGAGATGACATGTATTGACTCACTACACTCACAGAATAAACAATATCTGGACGAGTGACTGCGAGATAATTAAGCTTTCCAACCAGTTTTCTATATCTTTCTGGGTCTTCAAATGGTGTGCCTTCTTGAGTGAGTTGCACGTTGGGAACCATGGGTGTTATACTTGGTTTTGCCCCTAATTTCCCTGTCTCAGCTAGTAAGTCAAGTACATATTTACGTTGAGATAGAAATATGCCTTTCTTACTTCGTGTTACCTCAATTCCCAGAAAGTATTTCAAAGAGCCAAGATCTTTCGTCTGGAATTGACTATGCAGAAAATTCTTAAGGGCCAAAATACCTGTAGTATCACTCCCTGTAATCACAATATCATCAACATACACCACAAGCAATGTGACACCTGATTCTGTTTGTTTGTAAAAGACAGAGTGATCTGATTTGCCTTTTATCATTTCAAAATTTTCAATTGATTGACTGAATTTCCCAAACCATGCACGAGGACTCTGTTTCAGACCATAAAGAGATTTGCGAAGTCGACAAACTTTACCATACTCCCCCTGAGCAACAAATCCCGGAGGTTGCTCAATATAGACTTCTTCCTTAAGGTCACCATGCAAAAATGCATTTTTAATGTCCAACTGATGTAAGTGTCAATCATGAGTTGAAGCGAGTGAAATAAGTAACCTGACAGATGTTAATTTAGCAACAGGAGAAAAAGTGTCAGAATAATCAACACCATAGGTTTGAGCATAACCCTTTGAAACTAATCGGGCTTTCAATCGAGCAACAGATCCGTCTGGATTAACCTTAACAGCAAAAACCCACTTACATCCAATAGATTTCTTCCCTGTAGGCAAGTCAACCAAATCCCAAGTACCATTAAGATCTAAAGCATTCATTTCCTCTACCATGGCATGACGCCATTCAGGATGAGACAAAGCTTCTTTGACAGATTTGGGAACAGAAATAGAATCAATGGAAGCAATAAAAGAACATGAAGCAGGAGATAACTGATTGTACGACACAAATGAAGAAATAGGATGAGTACAAGACCGTGTACCTTTACGTAGTGCTATTGGGAGGTCAAGATCTGATGTGGAGGCAAGATCTGAAGATGCAGGTACTGGTTCAGGACATGAGATCGGAGTCGAACTAGTATTAGGATAAGTAATCACAGGTATCGCCGGTGGAGGGTGATCAGGTGCTTTGTGTCGACGGGTGTATACCAAATGTACGGGAGGCCTAGGTTCAGGAACTGTAACTTGTGGAATATTTGTCGAAAGTGTGGACTCGGGAATAGTCATCGGGTAAATGAGAATATCATCATTACTCTGATACCATGTTAAAGTATAAACTAGAATGATATTGAACATGGATAGGAGAAGGATTTTCTATATATTTCATTGAAGGGTAAGGCCCTATAAATATAGATTACAAAGATAGAATATTCCTATAAAAGATGCTATACAATAATACTATATATGGTATATTCCTAATATATTCTAAAGCATATTCTAAAGTATATTCTAATATACTTTCATAATTGTTTTATCTAAATGTGGTGCATCAAATATTCTCTATTAATTCTATTCGTTGTTCTGATGGTTTCAATAGATTCTTTTGTTTGGAGCAAATTAAACACTACAGGGCAGCTATTATCACCTCGAGCTGGGCATACAACTATTGCCTTGGGGAAGTGCTTGTTTGTTTTTGGCGGTTTCTCTGATGAGGAGAACCTCTATGATGATGTTTATATGCTTGATGTTGGTAATTCCTGATTCCTATTTTATGTACTGTTAACTTAACAAGTGCACTTGTGGAGTTATATCTTCGAAACAATCTTACAAAATCAAAATTTCTGATGACCCAAGGGCTATATAAGCATTTATGCATTTTTTGAAAATTGGTTGACTAACTGTTAGTAGTTTTCAGGTTCTGTTACCTTTATTAAACCTTCTCGCTACAAATAATCTGCTGGGAATGAATATTTCGTCCATATTTTCCAATTTTTGGTTCAAATTTTTGCAATATGAGAAAACCCAATATATATATATATATATTATATATGTATGTATGTATGTATTCCTAAGCTTGCTTTCTAGCTTATTAGTTTGCTTGATTCAAATTTTCTGTCAAAGAAAGTTATCATAAGCCTAAGAGCCTCCACAGAGAGTTGCAGCAACTCTAGATTCCCAATTGTTAGTAGATAACCTAGAGCTCATTTGGCAAGGATAATTTAGCTGAAATGGATGAACCCATTGAATTTTGTTAAAAGAATACTGCTGGTAAAATCCTTTTCAGTCAAATAAGTAAATCAAAAGGTGCTTATTCTGAGGATCCAGCTGGCTTATTATGCTGATATGTAGAATAAGCCGAATCAGGCAATCAAATAGGCTCTTAGTATTTGGTGCACAGTAGTTTCTCCTTTAACATATAACAACGTGGAATAAGAAAAAGATAGTTAGGGGTAAGTATAATTGTGTGAATATGAGAATTTTATGCTGCTGGTTTTATCTGCTATAGTTATAGATACTGTTATATATCTGTATAACTATCTCAAAGGCGGTTTTATGATCATTTCTTCTGAATTTTTGTGGTCTCGTATAGATGCTGGTGTATGGAACAGGGTTTTGGCTACTGGTGACGGCCCTTCAGCAAGATTCTCGATGGCTGGAGAGTGTCTGGATCCACATTTGGGAGGTTTTCTTGTATTTTTGGGTGGCTGCAATAAGAAACTCGAGGCATTGGATGACATGTATTACTTACATACAGGCATTCCTTCTACTATGGGTTCCTCTGCAGTCTTTGTTTTATGGCAAACCATATTCTTTAAAGAGTGTTTGGTTTTCTTGGAAAGTGCTACTTTCCATGGAAACTAAAAAGAGGGAGTTTGTCTTCTCTCCTTTACCGTCTTCACACAACAGAACCGTACTTCACTTTGCCTACAAAGTGGATTTAATCTTAAAATCAGAGAATCAATTTCTATCTGTTTGGAACCCAGAAAGCACTTTGTAAAGAAAATAGGGGAGAATTGGAAGAAAAGACGATTTGAGGAAGGATAAAAGTTAGGCTTGAGGTCAAATGTTTTATTTTTGATGTGTTCAAACTGATTTTATTTATTTATTTATTTATTTATAATATGTAAAGACTTATACACACACACCTATAAACGTTAGAGAACATTAATCATATTTCATTTCCCTTTTCATTTTTTAAGGTAAAACCAAACCTAAGAAAATACCCTTCCTTGGCATATTCTACTTTTACTAGCATTTATGGAATCCAAGCGTACCCGAAGAAATTGTAACTCATATCTGCTCTAAAGAAATTGTGAACTCTTTTGAACTCATATCATATCAGGGCTTGTTGGGGAAAGTGAACAAAATGATCGGAGAAGAGATAAGTTGTCTTTGAGAAAACAGCTGAAGTTAAAATGCCAGGAACAGCAAGGTTCTATCACAGAAAGTAACAAGTCTATTTATCTGTGAAGACATTATATTATCATACAAACCTTTAATTGGATCAACTTCATAGGTTGGTTTTATTTTATGGTCCAATTGCCAGGCAGACAAAATGTTCATATGCATGCACACCAAAATCCTCTAGGGAAAAAAACTTTTCAAGCCAAGGTGATAAAAAACTTTTCAGATGGCTATACTATCGAGACTGTCATAGATGGAAAGCATCTCCGTGGAGTGTTGTTTTCCAGCAAGCCAAATCCTATGAAGTTACCTTCTTCTGATGATTCTGATGGGTGAGGATAAGCTATTTCTCAACTTGTATCCCCCTCTCCCTTTTATTTTCTTTTCTAGCGTGATTAGCTTGTTGACTTGTAACTGGTTTACGGGAATTTCCTCTCTATGGTTTTCTTCTACGATAGGAAAGTGGAAGCTATGGAAATAGATGGGAACAAGATGAGTGATGATCTCAATTGTACCACCTACAGCACAGGATTTGCTGTTGTGGAGCAGAATGCGAGAGATGTTGGGCAGGCAGATGCTCCTGGAGGGGAATTGATAATGTCGGTCTCCCAAGTTGGAGATGCTAGAGCTGGAATTGGAAACCAACCCCTCAATGATGCTTCGCCTTTCCAGGAGGTTAATCCCTTTTCATCCTTTCGTATACTAAGCAATGTTTGGAATGTGTAGAAAATGATAGGAGAAGGAAAAAACTGCTAAAGAAAATAGTGTTTTTTATCTTTGGGTTAAACTTGCAAAATACGAAGGAAAAAATCAAATTGGATGAAAACTTTTTAAATTTTTACATATATTTAGATATCTTAGTCTATCTTATCCTCCCCCAAAAATTTATTCCTGCCTTGAGCTAGCACAGTAATGTTAAATTGACATTTTGTAGTGGAGCTTTATTTCGAAAGAAAAGAAACAATATTAACCCATCATTCTTTCCTTAAATGGATTTAGGGAGAAAGTTTTGGGACAACCAAAAACTATCATGTAGAAAGCTATGGAACGGTGGGAGTAATTGAATATACATATCAAATGAGTGAAAACTATGAAATATCTAAAATTAATTTATTGATGTTATACCTAATTTTCCCCATCTATTTTCATTCTTGTTTACTTTCCTTTGCATTTTCAGGGTTCCAAATGGACCTCAAAGAAATGTTAAAAAGACTCTACATCTTTGCAAATTAAATTGGCAAGTATTGTAGATTGCATAAAATTTCTACCATCTATAGGATCTGAAGAGCTACAAAGTCTATGATCACACAGAGTAGTGTTTTCTCTAGTATTTTTAAGGCTCAAACAAACTGAGAACTGAATTGTGGGAATTAGATAAAATTATGTTTTAAATAGAAGGAATGACCCAATTCCCTGGAAACACTCAAATTCCATGGTGTTGGAACCATGTAATGCTGCTAATTTCAGGAATAGACAAAACCTAAGAATTTGCTGATTCATTGGTTTTCAGATCCAAACATGGGCATCACATCAGTGACACGAATCTGAACGATGCTACATGTACACTACGTAATAATTTCATGGGGAAGCATAAAACCATCGTCCAGCACTTCACTTTCTGTGAAAATTTGATCCATAGGATCCTAGGATTTGTCTTACTGTTAGTTCAATAATAATAAATAATCATAATACTTGGCAGCGTCCTGGAACCTCTACACAACCAGTGCCGTCGAAATTCAATACGGAATCCAATGGTGGCGATTTGCCCCTAAAGTACGCATCAAAAGCATGTTTGTTTTTCTTTTATTTAAGTTGTGGTACAAAAGATTTTACCTCTTCTATACATTCATGCATGATATGCTTAATGTTGGTTAAGCTAAGAGCATTTACTGGTTCTGTTGTTGCAGTTGAAGGCTGGCAAGTATTTGTCACCCACCCAATTTGCTCCATTCTTTTTCTTACCTTTTAGGGTAGTTTTCAGAGGCAGAAACAATCAAACTGTACAGTTGAGATTACCGCGGGGAATATTCGGACCTGTAACTTTGTCAAGACACTTCAGTGGCTGTTTCCCATTTCTAACAATGGCATTGATATCCTTGTACGAAGTGCCTGCTGAGTAATGTCAATACCTGATTCAGACCTCATACTTAACACAAACTCGTGGTTGTCAATTTTCCTTTGACTCAATTTGATCCCCACGGACCCCACTCTTAAAATTGGAGCCAAATTAGATGATGTTTATAGTATATTCTTATTCTAGATTTCTCGGGATCTGCTCAAATAAGATGGATTTATCATGGATAAAAAAGTTAGATAATATACATCTAGATTGGGTAATATAACAATTTGTTTGAAATTAACTTTCATTATGATGTATCTAATATACAATTTTGTTAATTAAAAAAACATTAGAGTATATATTGTAATTTTGATTATGAAATAATTACATATTTATGACTAAAATGAAGACCGTTTGCCAAAATGTGATTAATAACTAGTGTAGTAATGAACTGTAAGCATTCTAATCGTAGTGAATTTAACAACAGGAGCAAAGATTTCAGCATAATCAACACCTTCCTTTTGAGTAAAATCCTTAGCTACTAACCTAGCCTTATATCTAATGTCGTTAGGCTCTTCCTTAACCTTAAATAGCCGCTTACACTCAACTACGGAACTATTGGGCGGTCTAGGAACTAACGTCCAAGTCTTATTCGCTCTAAGTGATTCCATCTCACTCTCCATGGCGCAAAGCCATTTAGCGGACTCATTAGACTTAAGGGCCTCCCTATAGGTTTTAGGTTCGTTAAGCTCAAGGGTCTCAAACACAGAGAAAGCAAACATAGAAGTATCACACGCATGGAAAACAAAATCAGGCATGCTATCAGCAGTTCTCCTAATTTCTCTCCTACTTCTATCTCTAACAAGTTGGTAATCATGCAAATCAATATCACTAGAATCAGCACTCTCATCATGCGATTCATTGTCATTTGAATGCACATGAGAATGCTCCACCTCACTCGAAGTGGTGGTATTATCATGCTCAGAAGAATCATGCAATTCAGAAGAATCATGCAAATTAGAAGAATCATGATTAGCAAACAAAGGACTAGCAGCATATGGTATGGACTCCACCTCAACAGGTGTACTACTAGGGCTCGACTCAGAATCAGGAACTGACTTAACCAGACAAGGGAACTCGGATTCATTGAAAACAACGTTTCTACTAACCACAACCTTGAAACCTACCTGGTTCCTATCCCAAACCCTGTACCCCTTCACACCCTCAGGATAACCTAAGAAGACTCCTTTCTTAGACCTAAGATCCAATTTGTCACCTTGTTGGTGCACATACGCAACACACCCAAACACTCTAAGATTAGACAAATCAAGGGGCTTGTTTGAAAAAACAGATTCAGGACATTTCCCACCCAAGGGAACAGAAGGAGACCGGTTAATCAAGTAGACAGCAGTATTGACTGCTTCACCCCAAAACTTTTTAGACAAATCGGAGGTGACAAGCATACTCCTAACCTTATCTAGAACAGTCATATTCATTCTCTCGGCTATCCCATTTTGTTGGGGAGTATAGAGCACAGTTTTGTGCCTTCTAATCCCACAATCAACATAGAGTTGGTCCATATCCTTATTGCAAAACTCTAATCCATTATCGGTCCTAAGGGTTTTGACCATCTTACCGGTTTGATTTTCTACAAGGGTTTTCCACTCCCTAAATTTCACAAAGACATCGGACTTATGCTCAAGAAGACGGACCCACACCTTCCTAGAAAAATCATCGATAATGGACAGATAATATCTCTTACCCCCGTGGGTAGAGACACTAGCAGGACCCCACACATCTGCATGAACATACTCTAACACAGAGGTACACTTAGTGGGATTAGGATAAGGGGAAGAGGGGAATGTAACCTTATGCTGCTTGCCTAACACACAAGATTCACAGAAAGGGATGGAGGACACAGAATCCTTACCAAAACAACCAGATTTATGCAAAATCTCTAAACCCTTATTACTCATGTGTCCTAATCTATTATGCCACAAAGCAGTTTTATCAGAACTAACAACATGAGCAGAATCACAGAAAGGCTGAGCATGGCACACATACAAATTATTCACCTTTTTTGGCTTAAACAAAACAAGGGAATTTTTCAAAACTTTCATGCACCCATTTCCCCATTTACCCTCAAGCCCACTACCCTCAAAAGCAGCGACAGAAAACAAGTTATGACGCAAATCAGGGACATGCCTCACATTTTTCATAGTAAACACAGTCCCATTATCAAACTTCAAGCATACATCATCCACCCCATGTATTTTGCATTTCTTATTATCAGCAAGAGACACAAAACCATCATTGCAAGAATCATAAGAAGCAAACAGAGATCTAAAAGGTGTCATATGATAAGTACAACCAGAGTCAATCAACCACTCATTTTCAGTCATGCTACTCAACACAGAATTTGCAAAATCACAGACCATAAAAACTTCTTCATGCAAGTTATTATCATCTACCACATTAGCATGTTCAGACTTCTTAGGATGGGGACAATCCTTAATGAAGTGACTAGAATTACCACAATTATAGCACACTCTCTTCTTAGACTTACCTCTCTTCTTCCCCGGGTCATTGTTATTGGTCTAGTTCTTATTGTTGCTACCCTTCTTATGGTTTCTAGATCTACTCTTAGACCTACCCCTCACAAGCAACGCTTCACCAGAGTCCCTAGATTGACTGTTACTACCCCTCGAGTGTCTAAGGTCTAACTCCTTACTCCTTAATCCATTAACGACTATATCTAACGAGATATCGTCTCTACCATACTTTATGGCAGATTTGACGTCATTGTAAGAGTCAGGGATGACATTAAGTAACACTATGGGTGTGTAGTCATCTATGTGTTTATCACCGGCTTGCTTAATGTTCTGAATAAGCTTGTTAAACACATCTAGGTTCTCATCTATGTCTTTAGTCAGGTCAAGCCTAAATCTAAAAAACTTCTCAAGCAAAAACAATTTACCAGGCAAAGAAGTATCGGTATACAACTTATCTAACTTGTCCCACAACTCTTTAGCAGAATCTATAATACCCACCTTCCTGAGCACTGAATCAGAAAGGTTTAGGTAAATAGAGGAAGAAGCAGTTTCATTCATTTCAACGCGCTTGACAGCATCCTCAGAGTCTAAATAGAGACCGGTCACAGCTCTATAGACTTTCTGTTGGATCAATACACATTTGATTTTCTGTTTCCAGATATCAAAATCTGTCTTTCCGTTAAATGGAAGCATGCCATATTGATTGACAACCATATTAACCGGAAAGCAAGCACAACACGCAAGAGAGTAAATAAAAATTTATCAAGCTATCAACCGGTACGAAGCAACTAGCACGAACAAACCGAGAAGACCAATGAACACAAAGCTCGGGTACAATCTCCTTGTTCTTTCGTACCGTACGAAGCAACTAGCACGAACAAGCCGAGAAGACCAATGAACACAAGGTTCGGGTACAATCTCCTTGTTCTTTCGTACAAGCACAGATAAAATTTTTTATTTAATCAACAGACAGATAAATGATTAATTATAACCTATAGGGCTATCAATTGTACGAAGCAACTAGCACAAACAAGCCGAGAAGACCAGTGAACACAAAGTTCGGGTACAATCTCCTTGTTCTTTCGTACAAGCGCAAATAGGCTAGAATTAAATCAACAAACAAAGAGACAGGATTTAAAACTAATCTGGACAGAAATATTTCCAACTTCGGACAACAAGTATCCAAACAAATATTCTTAACCGGAGAGTTTATCCACGAATCAATCAACAGAAAAAATCAAAATAAAAAATCCAACATGTGATTAAATTTAAACCGGAAGAGATATTCACAACTTTGGACAACGAGTATCCAAACAAAAATATTCTTCACCGAAACAATTAATCACAAACCAACAAGTAATCACAATTTAAACAAACAAGTAATTGTAATTCAACTTGAAATTAAAAATGAATGAACTACGAATAAAAATCACACAAAGGATTAGTAAACGTACCTAGGGCCGGGCACAACCGGCATCCAAGACCACGCAGGTCAGCAGCGGGGAGCGGGGAAAAAAATAAATCCGGTGGCACTCCGGTACACCAAGGGTGGTTAATGCCAATTTACCTGAGCGGGGCCCGAGATTGGGTTACCCGACTTACCGTAGGCAGCGTGGGCTGCTGTAGAGCGTGGCGGCAGAGCTCCCAGACTGGCGGCAGCAGGTCTGGACCGGCAGCGGACTGGACTGGCAGCGGACTGGACTGGTTTGGCTCCTGGCAGACGGCGGCAGCACCCCTGGACCTCCGGTGACTTCTGGACAGCAGCGGAGGGCGTCGACGCGGCGGCAGGCGGCGGCGTGGCGGCGGCGTGGCGGCGGCAGACCTCTCCCGTCTCTGATACCACTGTAAGAACTCGAATCCAGCTCAGGTCTCAATCACTTTCATCCACAAAGGATGAATTTCACACACTAGGATCAACAAGGGGAGAGAGGGGCGTCGGCCAGTAGCTGTTTCCGGCCAGTTCGTAAGAGCACCCACAGAGAGGCTGTAATCAGAGAAGCAAGGGTTTCGGCCACCTCTAATAGCAGCGGGCAAGAGAGATTAAATAGGCTAAGCTCAAAACTCAAACATGGTAACTTACCATACAGAAGAAAACCGAAGGCTCTGGCGAAGCGGAAGAGAACGACGCACAAGGAAAGCGCTGGGAAGAAAGAATAAGGACATGGGCCAAGGTTAATCTCAAATGAACTGGGCTTACAAAAAAGAACTGGGCCAATACCCAACATGAACTCATAGCAACTTTTGTTCAATTTTTAAACTTAAGTTACTTTGACACTGCATTAATTGTACTTCCTCCGTTCCTATTTTATCTTCCAAATAGGATTGACACACAATTTAAGATAGTGTGTATTGTGTGGTGGAGAGTTGTGCAGAGGAGAAATAAATGTGTAAGAAATGTTGTGGACCACAAATTCTTTACTAAAAAGGGAAAGTAGAAGTTTTAATTGGAACGGACGAAAAAGGAAAGTTGGAAGTTTTAATAGGAACGGAGGAAGTAGTAACTAATAAGATTATTAGCTTATTTTATCCCAAACTATCATCAAATTCACAAATCTATCATATTCTTTTATTTTTTTATCAAAAGAAGACTCAAACTTCATCTTTTTCAACAATTATGCTTTTCTCTTCTTTTTTTCTTCTTCAAAATTACACATTTTTATCAACACCAATTAGATATAAGCAATACAAATTTGTAAACTTGAAACTATAAATAAGTAAAAAAAATGAAATATGAATATGATTTTCATCTTAATTTTTACTAATTCATCTATTGAAAGTTTATTTCGATTCATATCATGTGATGTGACTAGATGATACTGTTGGCCATCACACGTCTACCACAGCACCCTCCTCCTTTATCCTGGCTTGGGACAGGCATGATATCAAAAAAATGATATCATGGCGGAGAATAAGGGTTTCAAACTAAGTCGGAGCAAGACAGAGTACATGCAGTGCAAGTTTGGTGGAGGTAGAAGCAGTGGTAATAGCGAAATTACTCTGGATGGTAAGGAGATATCAGTCAGTGATATGTTCCGTTACTTGGGCTCCATAATTTAGAAGGACGGTGAGTTAGATTGAGATGTATCCCATAGAATCAGAACAGGGTGGATGAAGTGGAAGAGTGCGTCAGGATTTCTATGCGATCGAGGTATGCCGACTAAACTGAAGGGTAAATTTTATAGGACAACAATTAGGCCTGCATTACTGTATGGCGTAGAGTGTTGGGCGGTGAAACAATGTCACATTCAAAAGATGAGTGTGGCAGAGATGTGCATGTTGCGTTGGATGTGTGGGCATACTAGGAAGGACCGCGTGACAAATGAGACAATCAGACAAAGGGTGGGAGTAGCACTTATTGAAGAAAAGATGTCGGAGTCGCGTCTACGATGGTTTGGTCATGTGCGTAGAAGACCGGGTGATGCACCTGTCAGACGAGTTGAGATATGTGGAGAGGCAGGGAAGAGAGAGAGGAAGACCCAAACAGACGTGGGTTAGGGGAGTTCGAAGTGATATGCTTCTTCTGGGGTTGGATTAAGGCATGACTTTGGAGAGAGCTAAGTGGAGGGCGGGTATTCGTGTGGAAGAGTGATATCGTATCATCTTTTCCCCTCATCTTTTTTTCCTTGTTTTTTATTCTTATATATATATATATATATATATATATATATATATATATATATATATATATATATATATATATATATATATATATATATATATATAAGCATTATTTGTATCCTTTTTATTTTATCATTTTTATGTATATTCAAATCTCTTTTTATATTATCTTTTTATAATAGCTTATTTTTTTAATCTTTATTTTCTTTCTTTTCCTTTTGGTGGTGATATCATGTATCAATTCATGTTAGCCGATCCCAATATCTTTTGGGACTAAGGCTTGGATGTTATTGTTGTTGTTGTTGCATCTATTGAAAGTGTAATTGTGAGAAATGTTGAAGTTTGAGTCTTTTTTTAATAATCGTTAAAGTATGTGATAGATTTGTGAATTTGATGATAGTTGGAGATATATTTAGCTGATAATCCTAACTAATAGTCATATTTTTGTAAATAAGTTTTATTTTGGTAATATTTTTTTTTTAAAAAAAAAACTTTGATTATATACTGATAGTGTGTAGGAAAAAGGAAAATGTATTTCGTATGAAAAGTTGCAAATAAATTTAAAATAAGCATTAAGGATCACGTAGGAATAAACTCTACATTACGATGAAATACCGCGATGATTAAAAGTGCAATATTTAAATGTATTACATGTTGTGTAGATACTAGATAGTTCTCATATTAAAGAATGAATGTCTAATTTTTTATGTTACACATTCTAATTATTTAAATTCAGAGTGAACACAATAATGTGCCAATTTTTCCTTTTATGGTCCTAATCATAATTTTTCTCAACTTTTAAATTTAAGAATCGCTATCTTTGTCTTGGATAAATATTCTAGTGTATCGATAATTGAAAATGATTAAAAGATATTAATCATGACTGTATTTTATTACATGCAAGATATTTTACTCATATATGTAATAATTTCACATATATTTATACTTTGACCCTCATTCAGTTTATGTAGTTGGCGTCAAATTATTTTTTAGAAAAAATACCTCTACATATATATAACTAAATAAGTATATGAGTGGTGTCAATTTGAACCTCATTCCGTTTGTATAGGTGGTGTCAAATTCTTTTTTAGAAACTATACATCTACATATATAATTACAAAAAAAAAATGAGAAAGAATTAATCAGAAGAAGGCAATTGAAGCTATAATAGAGATGTGAAGAAGGCTAAATACTCGAAGATGTGATATTACGCAAATAACCCCAAACACAAATAACCCCCAAAACAGGCGGGATACTTAACTCAATTAATTACATAGTGTTTAGTTTGTTAAGAATTCTCTTGCTAGCCTACAAAGGTTCAAAGATCTTGTTCAGAAATATAAAACAACAAGCAAATCTTATTTGTCCCTTGATATTTGCACTCGATGAAACTCAACTTATATTATAATAGACACGACTTTGAAATTTCAACGTGTTTTTAGCGGATTGTTTTTACCGAATGGATTGAATATTTATAGAAAGGTTTTATCTTGAATATCTGGTTCTCTTTATGTGACTAGTAATAGATGGTTTTTTGAAATTGCTGCCATTTCTGATGTTGAATAAATATATGGGTGAAAAGCGTTGATGCTGATTCACGTGATATGTCTACTGCCATGAAGCAAAAAATATGACAAGTATTGGGGTGATGTAGATATAATGTTTAAGTTGATTTGTGTTGCTGCAATTCTGGATCCTCATTTTAAGTTGTTAAAATAACTGACTGGAGTATATGGTCCAGGGACCCCCGGCCCACATACTTCCACAACTGCAATCAGGTCCAACAGGTCCAAACGGGTCAAGTCCAACAAAATGAAGCTCTAAGCAGCCCACAATACACAAGGAGGTGCCTTCGGTCCCATGACCGAAGGCTACCGTTGACAGAATTTAGCTCAGGAACATCACAGGAGAACAAGGCTTGAAAATCAAGCCTTCGGCACATAGAGGCCCCCGGCCCATGGGGCCTTCGGCACAGTAGGTACAACCGAAGGCGTCTTCTTCGACAGAATCTCCTCTCCACATGCGCTGGATCACCATACCAAGTACAAACGTCGCATCCAACCACCGCATTTAATGCGGCCACATGCAAGTGCTGGCGCCACCCCGATTGAGGTGACCCCTCGACCGTTAGATTGTTGACACGTGTACTCTCATCGCATTTATTGCTGTTATAAATAGCAGCCCATTTTCCCATTGTAAGGCATCACAAATTCACATACTGAATACATATTCTCTCTCTACTTATTGCTCTGACTTCTCTCTAGTTATTCCCCGAAATAACCTCTCGGATAGGCTACCCCGGGTACACTATCCATCATTTGGTGCTCTCGTTGAGAGGTCGAACAATCAAGTAAGAAACCATCTCCTTCACCAAACTCAAAACATCTACCAAAATGGGAAGAATCACTCGTGCCCAGTCTAAGACCCTTGAGGACAACAACCTGGCCCTCGGCGAAGTCAACGCGCCTGGAGCCTCCAACAAGGCTCCCGAGGGCGGAGTCATCGCTGGGTTGCAACAGGCTGCTGTTGACCTGCGCCTTCAGCTCCAGCAGAATGCCCCCGATGCCTGCCTCGGCATCGAGACCCGAAGGAAGGACCGGAGTGAAAATCAAGGTGCCTTCATCCAAACACTCACCCAGAATCCAGGTGCCTTCGGCACTCTGGTACCACTTCAGTCGCAGGTCGGGGAGAACGCCATTCCTCCCCCTCCTTCGCCCCCCTTCGGGAACCCTGTCCTTCGACTAGGGAACAATGAAGGGGTCATGGCCCAAGACACCCGCATCCCAGGAAGTCCAATCCCGGGACCAGCGCGGTGCGAACAAAGAGAGACATCGGACCTCTGCCCTTGAGAGGCTCGGAGGGATGCAGGATCGCTGAGGGGTCCAAGACCGCCTCGGTGGCAAAGCACTCCAAAGACCTCAAGAAAACGGGGGGTCGGTATCGAGGGCAGACGAGAGGCGTCCCCCCAGGACAAAGGAAAGGCACCACTACACGCCGATGATGCCAGACACAGAATCAACCAGGCCCACTCGGCCCGTGTACAATCACAAGGGGCGGAGGCCCTCCCGAAGGATCACAGGGACGAAATTATTGAGGCTCTCCAATGCCGCCTGGATGAAATGGAGGCCCTCCAAGCGCACACGACCACTTCCGCCTCGCAGGCGGACCCTAAATACGCCACCATGCTGACCAAAATGGAGGAGATGCAGAGAAAATTTGCCGAGGGCTCTGGGGAACCCATCATCCAACTTCGGACTAGGACGTCATTCACCCCAAGGGTGTTGGCGGCCCAGATTCCAGGAAAATACCGAGGGCAACCCATCAAGCCCTACGAAGGGAAGACTGACCCCCAGGAGCACTACAGTTGATACCTAAACAACATGATGATGATGGGGGCATCGAATGAATATTTGTGTCATTGGTTCCTCTTCACTTTGGAGAGCCCGACATACGAATGGTTCAACCGATTGCCCGAGGACAGCATTGACTCTTGGCAAGAACTAGCCCAACGCTTCTTGACACAATTTACAGGAAGGCACCGATCCAAGAAGCACTTCTCCCACCTACTTACAGTAAGGCAACAAAAGGAGGAGACCCTTCGGGATTTCCTTGAACGCTGGAGGCTAGAGACGGACAAGGTCGACGGCACCGACGATAGGACTCTTATTGCTCTCCTCCAGACGGTCCTCCGTACCGGCAACTTCTCCAGGAGCCTTATTGTCGAACCTCCACGCGACTATATAAAAGCCCTCCAACGAGGAGACCGATACGCGGAGGCCGAGGAGGTGGAGAGGTCCCATCGAAACCCTGAACAGCAACGCCCTAGGCAGGATGACAGGAACAACTGGGGGCCGAGGGCTCCATTCCATCAATCCAAAGGCCTGGCCCCCTCGAGTGATCGCCCCCGGCATGGCCAAGCCAAACCCGGGGGAGGTTACAAAAACAACCAGAAGGCCTGGGCGCAGCCTGTTCTCTTGGAGCACCTTTGGACACCCCTGACCCACCCCGTCAGCGTCATCCTCGACTTCACCGAGGAGAGGGGCCTCGTGGAGCGAGATTCTCGCGCACCCCCAGAGGTATATGCCATCAACCCCAGCGAACCTTACTAACGTTTTCATCGCCACCAGGGGCACATAACCGGTGACTGCAACCAACTGAAGACAGCCATCGAGAGGCTTATACAGGCGGGTCATTTGTCCCAGTTCGTCAGAGGTCCTCCCTACCATGGGCCCCCTAAGAAAGCAAACGCCTGGGTCAACCCGAATACCATACCCCTCGGAGACCCGAAGGGTAAGAAGAGGGAGATCGGGAACCTCAGTGAAGAAGAAGGGTACGACTTGTGCCAGGAGAAGAAGCGCCATATCCACATGATCACCGGCGGCAACACGGGGGGGGGGGGGGGGGGAGACTCCACGAGCCAAAGAAAGAAGTGGGCACAGTCCCTTTATGTAGGGGAAGTCACTCATATGGCCCCCGTAAAGCGGTTGAGGGAGGAACCCATCGTCTTCACCAACACCGATCTCCCCCCAGTTTCCTCTCCTCACAGGGATGCGCTAGTGATCCAGAGTGATATCAACAACACCATCATCCACAGAACTTACGTTGATACGGGTAGCTCCATCAACGTAATGTACCTTAGCACATTCAAAGAGCTGCTTCTGGAGAGGGAGTCCCTTCGGCCCATCCGGACCCCTCTATCCGGCTTCACCGGGGACACTATAGATTCAGAGAGAGTAATAACCCTCCTGGTACTATTCGGCGACGGGCTCCACAGAGCCAAGCTCGAGGTGGAGTTTGTCGTCTTCAACATCGACTGCGCCGACAACATCATCCTCGGCCGTCCCGCCCTCGAAGACCTGGAGGCCGTCATCTCCATGAGGCACCTATACCTCAAGTTCCCTGCTGAAGGGGGGCATCAAGTACTCAAGGGGGGACCAAAAGCTCGCACGCACCTGCTACTGATATGCACTAATTAGTAGTGCATAAATGTATGTTTTTATGTTTGATTGATGTGTATTGTTTATCGTTTTATTTAGTTTGTAAACATTTGTGTGATTTTAGTTGTAATTGTATTTTAATCTTCATTTGTCAGTTGTAAAGTAGAATTAGGAATTATGTTGTTGAAAAGGGTGACTTAGAAGTGAAGAAAAAGGAGGTTTTACTGCCCAAGCACTTTACCCGGTCGGGTACCCGGCCAAAGGTGTTGTAAAACACCTATAAATAACTCCATTTTCCTTCACTTTTAGATATCCCTTCTTCCATACTCCTAAGCTCAGTTTAGAATAGCATTTATTATATTTTTATAGCATGTTTAGTCTCCAAATGAGGAGCTAAACCCTTCCATCTTGGTTTTGCTACTTTGAAGCTTAATGAATTTGTAAGTTGTGAGTTATTTTCTTTAATCTTCTTCCTTGAATATTAATTGTGCCTCATGGAGATGACGGCCTCGAGGTCCTCGAGGGCTGGCCGGCCGAGGATGATGTTGTGGGCGCAGTCGATGTTGACGACGACGAACTCCAATTCGAGCTGGGCTCTATGGAGCCCATCGCCAAAGATTACCGGGAGGGTTATTACCCCCTCGGAATCAATAGTATCGCCGGTGAAGCCGGCAAGAGGGGTCTTAATGGGCTGAAGGGACCTCTCTCCAGATGCAGCTCTCTAAAGGTGCTGAGGTACATTACATTGACGGAGCTGCCCGTGTCAATGTAAGTTCGGTGAATGATGGTGTTGTTTATTTATGTTCGAATCACCAAGGCATCCCTGTGAGGAGAAGAAGTAGGAGGGAGATCTACGTTGGTGAAGGTGATGGGTTCCTCCCTCAGCCGCTTTACCGGGGGCATATGGGTGACTTCCCCCACGTAAAGCGATTGAGCCCACTTTTTCCGCTGACTGCTGGAATCGCCCCCTGTATTGCCACCGGTGATCATGAGGATGTGGCGTTTTATCTCCTGGTAGTGGGGGTACTCCTCCTTTTCCTCCTCCAAGTTTCCGATCTCCCTCTTCTTGCCGAGGGGGATGGTGTTCGGGTTTACCCAAGCATTCACCTTCGTGTGGTGCCCTCGGGGAGGTCCCTGATGAGAAGGTCCCTCCTGCCGAGGGCTCTGGATAAATTGGGACAGATGGCCCGCTTGTATCAATCTCTCGATGGCCGTCTTTAGCTGATGGTAGTCATCGGTTCTGTGCCCCTGATGCCGATGGAAACGACAGTAGGGGAACTGAGGGTTGATAGCATGTACCTCCGGGGGTGCGCGAGAATCGCGCTCAACAAAGCCCCTCTCCTCGACAAAATCAAGGATGATGCTGACGGGGTGCGTCAATGGTGTCCGGGGGCGGTCCAGGAGAATGGGTTGTGCCCAAGTCTTAGGGCTGCTCTTATAACCTCCCCCGGGCTTGGCTTGGCCTTGCCGAGGGCGGTCATCAGAGGGTCCTGAAGCCTTGGGATGATTTGGAGGAGCCCCCGGCCCTCGGTTGTTCTTGTTGTCAGCCTTCGGGGGCTGCTGATCTGGATGCTGGTGGTATTTCTCCACCTCCTCGGCCTCAGCATATCGGTCCCCCCGCTGCAGGGCCCTTATGTAGTCGCGGGGGGGTTCAATGATGAGGCTCCTTGAAAAGTTGCCGGTGCGGAGGACGGTTTGTAGGAGGGCCAGGAGGGTCCCGTCGTCAGCACCGTCGACTCTGTCGGCTTGTGTTCTCCAGCGCTCCAGGAAGTCCCGAAGGGTCTCATCCCTCCTTTGGCGTATGGTTAGGAGGTGGGAAAAGTGCTTCCTCGTGCGACGCCTCCCGGCAAATTGCGTCAAGAATCGCTCGGCGAGTTCTTGCCACGAATCAATGCATCCTTCGGGCAACCGGTTGAACCATTCGTATGCCGGCCCATCTAAGGTGGAGAGGAACCAACGACACAAATATTCGTCCGACGCCCCTACCATCATCATGCTGTTCTGATATTTGCTTTAGTGTTCCTGGGGGTCCGTCTTCCCGTTGTAAGGCTGTATGTGTTGCCCTCGGTATTTTTCCGGGATCCGGGCCGCCAATACCCTTGGGGTGAATGGCGTCCGGGTCCGGAGCTGGCTAATGGGTTCTCCGGAGCCCTCGGCTACCTTCTTCTGTAATTCCTCCATTTTGGCCATCATGGCCTCGTATTTGAGGTCTGAACGATGGGTGGAGGTGGTGGCGTGAGCTTTGTTGGCCTCCATTTCATCAAGCCGGC